TATATGGCAATATCTCATTGTACAGTATTCAGTGGCAAGCTAGCCACGGCAGCTGGTCATGCTATGCTAATAAATCTGGATCTAAATCATTAAAAACTTGCATAACATGACTTGTTGCTGCAATTTCATATACCTTACTTACATAAAAATTTGGGCAGTACTAGAATTCGCGCAGCACTGGGTTGGGCGAATTTTAGTAATGTGCGAAATATAATCCGCGCAAAAAGCTTTGTGATGTAATATGAGACACCGGTTGTTAGTAATGAGAACCATACAATAAATGTTCGCCGAGGATATTCGTCTGACTTTTCCATAGTCATTAAAGTCGCTAAATATAAAACCGCGTAAATTTAGCTGAATTTCAAGCGAATCCTCCGTAGTGTTGTGGTTTATGCCATATTTAGGCACCCGTATTGCGTGCGCCAAGTTCTGGGATCGATTCCTGCTTGCGCTATTATTCTATTATTTTTTTTTATACTTTTTTTTTCTTCGTGGTTTTCGCTTACGCACCGCGTACGAAACCGTCGAAACGTATAGCGTATAGAATAATATGTTGTTGCTTCGTTCTTTTAGTGATTCAGTGTTAGCTTTTAAAGTGTTGTCGGATTAATAGCCGTGAAGCAAGAAGATCCGGTGTCGGACGAATATCCACGGGGATAAATATTTTAGTTTTATTACATAATTTTGAAACATTGCAATATTCTTGAGGCCAGCGCGAATATGAACAAGGTGCGCGAAATTAAATCGCCCATGAGTACCGACAGTACGACGCAATTATTGTTTTAATGGCACCTTCAAGGCTAACCCTATTGCAGAACAACTGAACAATCTGCTGATGAGGAGACAAAATATATGTTGACATTTTTGTCAGCTTTAGATGACCATTCATTTGTAAGGACTAAGATTGTAGAAAGAAATTCTGAGCAGGTGAATATATGAACGTAAGCCGGTATATTACATATAATGCCAGCCAATGGACATATCTCAGATACTAAAAGTACATTTTGACTCCTTGTATAAATATAAAGACGATCAGTGGGCTATTATATAGAACTGCAAATTCATGAAATCATATTGGTTTCAATACCTCTATATTGAACACTAAACAGCAAATCTAAACATAAATGCTCATATATATATCACCAGAAAGAAATAAAGCTATCCAAATGATTCAAAATTCGATCCTTTGCATCGTATTAAACCGTATTAAATCCTGAGAAAAATCATGCGAGCGCAATACAAAATAAATAAAATCGAATCAAAATCCAATAAAAACAAAGAGTCGTCGAATGCTCAAGCTGACGACAATTTCCAAAAAATCTTGACATCCGACGGACTGACGCATGAATTCAGTATGCTCCCCCAATATAACTCGGCCGGGGACTGGGCACGAAAAAGCAAGAACGTCATGTAACGTCAAGAATAGGGAGCTGCCTCGCTACGCTCGGCAGCAATAAAGAATACTACTTAGGAGTGTTTTATCAGGTTTAAAGCCACTGCACGTGACATATTATGGTTAACATGATTTGCCAATAAGCTTATGAATTATTAATGAGTGTTTGAAATATTGATAATAGCATTGGTATACTATAATGGGAATAACAATTGAGCAACATCGTGCCCGAATTGGAGCACACAATTGTATACGAATAAACAAGTACTTGAGTTTTGTGCGCGGCGACGTTCGTCACATAATATTGATATTATTTCAGCTGGTTATAACTATTATTGTATTAGCAATGTTTGTTCGAATATGTTATTTGAACATATATGTGCGACGTTTTACCCAAGTGATAGAGTCATTCACTCAAATAACAGGTTACATTGAGTATATTCCACTGTTGTTGAGAATGGCAAATAATGTTGAAGAAAACCCTGGGCCGACAATAGATAGCTTAAGATCAATAGATAGCTTAAGATCTGTCGACGCCAGCTAGAACGTCAGGGCTAAGCAAAGGAGTGGGACTAGGACGTCGTCCTAAATAAGTCGATAGCTCAAGTATCTACGACGTCAAATATTTAGGGCGGCAAGCAGAAGTGAATTGGTAATAGTTTTTGAAGTGTGCATGTGTCTCTCTCAATTTGCTCGTCGTTCACCAAACGTCGACAACCTCACAACAAGAGTTTTACCGTCGTAAATACAAGAGCATAACAAACGGTAATGGGTTCACACGGCTCTTTTAAATTCATTTTCAAAAGTATGTAAATGTTTATAGTTTAAATGTCTAAGTCGTGAAACTTAATATATAAGTTGAAGTTTATTTATTTAGGACGACGTCCTATAGTCCCAGTCCTATGCTTTATAGCCCTGACGTCCTAGCTGGCGTCGACGTCGTAGATCTTAAGCTATCTAATATATGATGTGGTTGACCCAACTAAAACAATCTATGCCGATTTTAGCCAAGACAATGCCAAAAAATTTCGACACAATGCTGGTAAACAATGTTTAGCCATGTCCTTGACTGCAATAATATATGATCATATTACAAATGTTAATGCATGGGATTCCGAATTATTGAATGATATATTGTGTACTGGAAATAACCTTTATTATTATATGGCAAGCATTTGTTTTGATGAATCGTGCAATTTGATTGGCTGCTGACGAGGCAGGATTTTCCCGTATTGCCCACGGGCAATACGCAATTTTTATTGCCCTGCGACGAGAGCCGAGTTTCAAACGGCAAAAAGAGTCTAAAAGTCTTTCAAACTATTCAAAACGAAGAAAAATAAACCTAAACTAAAGAAAAGGAGCACCTTCTGTGGTTAAAGAACTTTCTCAATATGTTTTTGTTAGCGAAAGTCGAATTTACAAGGTAAATTTTACAATGTTTATAACTATTAAACCAGTCAAGAATAGCTGTGTTTTGACTTTGTGAAGAGCTGCAAATTTTATTTGCAGATAGCCAGGAGGAATTTGACACCATCCTAAATACAAACTACAACTAAAGCAGCCACAGATTATATTTTTTCCCTGAAAATTTCTGTTTTTGTTCGATAAAAAGAGACATATTTATGAGATGAAGCGAACTAAAAACGTACTTGTCCATACTGTTTATTAATTTTATTGTTTTCATATTTGTAATTGTCTTTGTCTTTGATTAAATGACGACATACCTCGTTTTTTTCTTGAAATACTATCCAAACTGTGTTAGTATTCTATATAAAAAGTGCTGTGGAGTAGTTTTACTAACCAAGAGAACATTTTTTACAATTGTTCTTTTTTGCAAATGTTTCGGACTTTGTACTTTCCATCGCGTGACCTTTTCCCCATTTTTTACAAACGTACAATGCCATATAATAAAAAACTTACTGACCTCAACCGTTCGGGCAGTACGGGAAAATATACAACCTCGGTCTTGCTGTATTGACCTCGCTATCGCTCGGTCAATACAGCAAGACCTCGGTTGGATATTTTCCCGTACTGCCCTTACTCTCGGTCAGTAAGTTATCATTATTTTATAAGCAATTCTGTTAAGAAAAGCTATTTGCTTTTAACTGATGTGCCAGAAATGGTCTCACTTTTTGATCACTTCTATCACTTACAATTTGGTGACCCATTTGCAAGCGACATATTCATGGCAACTACCAATCTACCTTATTATTCTTTGGAGAATGCTTTCAATAATCTGTTTGGAGTGACTCAATTAAACTTTCAAAATTGCCTGTTGACTATTAATTACAATACCATTGCAATTTTTAAGACTTCTGACGGAATCTTTAAAATATTTGATTCTCATTCAAGAGATTCATATGGAATGACACGTCCTTTAGGCAAATGCATATTAGCATCTGTTGAAAGTATAGAAGACCTGGTAATTTATTTCCAGAGTACTATACCTCGAGGCAATGAAATGACCTTTTGAAGTGAAAGGACTAGCTGTTCAGGAAACAAATTCCAATATAACACAAATAGATGCACCTACATCGAGCCAAAGTGGAAAGAAACATGTGACACTGGAAAGTGACAGAAAGTATAGGAAAATGAAACGAGCAGTAGAAAATGAAACTGAATAACAAACTAGACTTGAAAATATTAGATTATAAAAAAGCAAAACAAGCTGTTGAAAGTCAAACTGAAAGGCAAACTAGAATTGAAAATGATAAAAAATATCGAAATAAGAAACGAGCACAAGAAACTGTGATTGAAAAGCAAACTCGTCTTGCTAGTGCCATGATGGATAATAAAATAAGTGGATAGGAAACTAGCTGACGTGACCTAATGTTTTCAATGGGCTGATGGCGTGAATGGATGTCCCAACCTAGTTGAAAACCAAATTCTCAAAAACAGCATGTTTAGCAATAAAACAGCTAAAACATTTAGTCAAAGAGCAAATAAATATAACCACGCCATTCTACGATGAAAACTCTAAGTATTCCCAGTCAATTTTAGCAAATATTTCAAGCACTAAACAGTGAAAAATACATCACAAATTTCGTTAAAATTTGTGACGCCAATTTCGTAGTACAAATGTAAAAAAATACAAAACAAAACGAAAAACATTTACCTTGAATACTTTGTCGTGGCTTAGGCATGTTTTTAAAACAATTAGACCAATTTATGCTTCAATATCACCCTTTTAAAGTGGAAAATGTAGCAAAACAACAGAAATACCGAGAACTTTGGTAATTTTCGCAATACGCGTGACGTCACGTTTTTCAACAAGGTGGCGGCCAATGACGTCAGAAGTTTCTTATCCAGTTATTTTACAATCCATGCTAGTGCTAATGAATACAAGAGAAAACGTAGATCTTCTAGTTCAAGTCAGGGACATTATTTAAACAAATTTGACATATTAAATGGCAGTATTCAAGAAGAGAGTTGGGCAAAGTCTAAAATTAATAAATTTAATAAATCTATTGAATTCTTTATCAGTCAATGCACAATAAGTAAAGAGGCATGGCCATTAAAATCTAAGCCAAAATCACACGATAGTTATGTATGTTTACGATGTTCTAGAGACACAAAATCTCCTAAAAAGTTTAGTTTTGAGAACTCAATGATTCCTTCACCTGTCCAGGAAATGTTGATAGCTCGAGCTCTGCCTATCATGAGAGTTTATATTAAACCAGGTAGACAACGAGGTTACTCAGGCCATTGTGTTAACTTGCCACAAAATGTAAAAGTACTTGCAACATCCTTGCCAAGATATCCGAAAGAATTATCTGTGATTATTGTTAAGGTGAAAGGTAGAGATAATACTTTTAGAGATGTTGCTGTGAGACGAGAAAAAGTACACAATGCCTTATTATGGCTAGTGCAAAATAACCCTCATTATTCTGAGTTAGAAATTAATGAAGATGCATTAAACTCTTTGCCTGAAAATGGCATTCCAGCAGATCTCATGACAGTTGAGACTGAAAATGAAATAATCTCAAATGATGATGTCATGCCAGATTTGGGCCCTCCCACTGATAACCTTTCTGAAGATATAGTTTATAATGACTCTACAGATATGAATAGTTTCTTGCCTGTTGGTGACCAGCAAGAACGAGAAATAGAAGCAGTTAGGAATCAGCTTTCTGGAAATGAACCAATGCCATGGCCCACTATTGAAAGTGAACCACTGAATGAATATCAGATATCACATCTGGCCACTATGGCTTTCCAACATTATTCCCTGATGGAAAGGGCGATCCAACTATAAATCAAGGTCTGTTGAGGGATGTCGCTCTTCAAGAAAAGTTAAACACCTTTTAAAATTTGCTGAATATATTAATGATAAGTGGGTGTACCGTTTTGCTAACCACCCTAGATTTTCCTACTGGGCTTTTAACATGATTCAGAGAAAACGTATTTTACAACAGAGTGGAATATTCCTAAAACGAAATCCAGGTGAGGCACATCTCACTATTGATGAATGAGATGAACTTCGTGCAATGACTGCAAGTAGCAATGCAGATGTATTCATGTCTAAAGTATCTAGATATGTTGGCAATATTGCAGGTACAAATGCTACTGGAACAAGGTGAGAAAGAACTAAAAGCTATCATAACCAATGTTGGAGCACCAACAATATTCTTTACTTTTTCATCAGCAGATATGCACTGGCCAGAATTACATGCTCTGTTTGGAGAAAATACTGATAATACCGCTAGTGCTCAGGTAAGACGACAAAAAGTTATTAACAATCCACATATAGTTGATTGGTTTTTCACACAGAGATTAGAAAGCTTCATTAAACACTGACTTTATGATACTCTTGGTGCAAAATGGCACTGGTTTAGATATGAATATCAAGGTAGAGGAAGTATTCATTGTCATGTTACTGCTAACTAAAGAAAGACCCAGGTTTGTGTCAACTTACTCAGACTGCTCTAAAAGGATTCTTAGCTCAAAAATGTAAGGACAAAAATGATTGTTTGGATACAACAGAACTAGACCAGGATATTGAAGCTGGTAAGAGAGCTGCTGTACCGAATCGTCTCGATACACTCGATATATATTCGATTAACACACTCAACCCTCTCTCCTCCGCAGAGGCTTTAGTTTTCTTAGGATTTAATATTACGATGAGATACATTTCACTACACTTTACATGGCGGATCGTGGAACATGAACGTAGCCGCTGGGCGAAGGAGCGCAGGCGGCAAAGGGAAAGGCGAAGGAAGGCGCGAAGCCTCTGGCCTCTGCACGACTTGCATCGCAAAGTGGGACAAAGTGTAAACATCGAAACAAAAGGTGATTTTTAAGCTAAACAAGAAACGTCTTTTTGAAAATTAAATCATTATTTAATGCATGATTGATTGACCTCATTGACTAGTGCTTGCATGTTTGTGGATGGTCAAAAGTAATATTTTTTAACATTTAATACACAAAGCAAACAATCGTATATTTTACTCGCCGCTTGGCGAAACATTCTGTATTTCGTATCGAGAAAAACTTGAATATTTCTTGAACTCTTCGGAATTCGCCACCAGTCAAAGAAGTAAAATACTCTTTGTATTCAAGCGCTTTCGTGTAGAAAATTTCTTTTGAATACGGCCGGTAGAAATATTTATTTTTAATTTTTCAAAATATCGGGGTTTTTACTTTTTAGTCGCACAGTCGCACGCGCCTGTCACACGCTGATGTTCGGGAATAGTTCACAATCAGAAGAGGAATGGAAATACCATAATAAAAGATGAAGTTTTCAAGATACAAGCTCAAAAATAACACTCTAAGTAGTGTTTTGAATTCGCTTTCGAACAAGAGTAATACACAGAGGATGCGTCCTAAGCCAGGATCCGAAGTTATGTTCGCCGAAAGGTATGCCTAGTTTATATTTTTATCAAGTGTAAACATTGCATGATTTGATATTAATATACAAAATCCCGCTTGACTTTCAAAGGTCATAAATCGCTATAGTGTTGACATTTCACTAAAACTATTGATAGACACTAGGAGATATTTTTGTACTGAATCGAACGGTCGTACTTTCATCTACATAGCGTATATTGAACCAAAGATACGAACCTCCAAATAAATCAGGTCGAAACCGACTGAAGGTCGCGTTTGGTCGCGTTTGTTTATAAATATTGCTGAAGTTGAAATAGTTGAATTGTATTTTCAGTCTTGATAATAAATTTAATAATGGTTCTGTATGCTATACATACTCATTTTTTTCTTTTATGCGGTTTTGGACACATTTCTGAAAATACAAATCTCAAATATAAATTTAAATAAAAGTTTCTTCGCTTGCAACCAAAACCTGTTCCCTAAATACGTTGTTTCCGTGCATTGTTTTATACTGTAGATGGAGACCTTGTCTAGAAAAAATGCAGATGTTTTCTCGCAAACTGAACATAACACTTTCTTATTTCGTAGATCTAGTAAATAATCTCTTTGTCAGCTTGTTGCAGTATTGTAAAGAGATATTTTCTCAGTCATTTTGACTTGAATTTTGCGTTTGATAATTATACGCCCCCCCCCCGGTTTACCGCCATATTGGGTGAGGCATCGTGCAGAGGCTTCGCGCCTTCATAACCAATTAAAGCCTCTGCGGAGGAGAGAGCACTCAACCCATTGTTTTATATTTTCTTTAATACAAAGAACCAAACTCTCGTTAATACAAAGACGAACAACTCACTCTATCTCCAAAACACATGTGCTTCACTTGCGTTTTCCTGGAAAACGAAGTCTACCAACAAGGGCAAATAATGTTAGCCAATCAGCGCGTTTGTTTACATTTTGCGTTCTTGACCAATCAGAATGCCTGAAATTCGAAACATGTAAACAAAAGGATGGAGAAAATAACACCTTGTTCTACGCCCTCGGTGACATTCGATATTAAACTTTTTTCGCCAAAACTGACAAATTCTGCTAAAGCATGCTTTCTTCTTTAATTTCCTCGGGGGGATTTTTAAAATTCGATCTAGAACGCGAAATATTTATGTTTGAATAACAGTGTTTCGACGCGCGTAAAATAGCAGACTCTCACTTGCACTATCTTTACACAAACATAAAAAATTGGTAGATTTGGCAGTTTAAACTTATTTTCCCCACACCACAGCTGACATGTTTTTAAATATTACCTATCTGATCTCATCGATCTCATTTCGCATCGGAAATGCGTCACAACGATCCAGGACTGACAGGTACAATATCGCATGACTCATTACTGTACATGAAAAGTACCCGGTTGGCGAAATGGCGATTGTCTGACCACAGTTAATAGCTGACAGACCTTCGCGAAGGGCTTAATATTTTTGCTAATAAACTGTTCACGAGGGTTTCGTTCTGTTCGTCTTCTGGTTCGTCGTGAATTGTCATCGGCTGCCTCACTTCTTGGTCGCTTTCGTCCTCTTCAAAGCAAGTCGCCGGAGCAAACAGCGTTAGTATTTGCTGTCTTTCCAAGAGCTTCAACGTTGCTTTACAAACTGGGCTATCGCTGATGTTGGGCAGGATGCATTTGATGTGGAACGAAGGTCCACAACCACGAAAAACGTTTACCAGGCAGGCAAATCACAAATCGATGGAAATTTTAAAGGAAGATTTCTATTTTATATTTACAGATCTTGATACATTTATAGTCAGTACGTCCTTGGAAATTGTTCCAAAATATGAGTGTGTACCAAAGTTAAAATATTACTCATAATCTCTAGAACATGTTTGAATGTTTTGAATCAGAATCACTGCAGTTTAGAATTAGCAGTCCTTTAACTCTTTTAAAGACAACAGAACTGGCAGCCATGGCACCCCATAACTATTTAGTGTACAATACTAGTCAATGTAATTAATTACTACCTCCCCCAACCCAGAAGTAGGCAGTTTTTACTTCTCAGCACTGTCACTATCTGTAAATATCTGTGTGTAAATATCTGGTTTTGTCTCAGTGACCCTGCTTTGCCCCACACTTTGGGATTTGAGCAGGCAGGGATTTATATTGTCTGGTATTGGTACATAGTTTACCATAATCAGAGGATATTATTGAACGATTTCCCTACCAATTCACTGCCTTAAAAGCATTATATTATTTGCTCTGTGTGTGTGTGTTACTTTAAGTGTACTCTGGTTCCAGAGGTTCTTTGCGAGGCGAAAGAAACAAGATGCAAGAACGGAGAGCCTCTGGTCACATCAGGGCCGTATCACCAGGGGGCAGTAAGGCTTATATGTTGAAAAAAGTTCCAAATATCCAAAGAATAATTAATAATGACATTCTAAAAATTGTAAATATAGTTTTCTTTAGGAGGGCAGTTTCCCCCTCCTGCCACCCCCTCCCCTGTGCTATGTACAGCCCAGGGTCACTGTCGATTGCGAATCCCACTTCCACACTTGATTAGGTTCAGCATTTGAATTTCGCATGTGATGGCCCATTTGTAAAAATATGCCAAACTGGCTTGGGAAATAAACATTGCTGTAAGCTAATTATAGCCTGTATTAAAATATTCTATTAATTAAAACTCAACCAAGAATGTATTACATGTCCTCCAAAACTGATTAATTTTGATATGTTTATCTCCTGAGAAATTTAATACCTTTTCACCTGCGGGAGTATTAATATTCATGTTTGGTTGAGTTTACTATAATAGCTTGGGGCTTTTTAATTGGGGCTTCGGTGGCCAAGTGGTTAGCGCACTTGCCTGTCACCTCTGAGGCTGCAGGTTCAAGTCAGTGAGAACTTTCTCAATGCGACTCAAACCCAGTCCTCATGTGAAAAGAATAAACCGCAACGCTCTGCCGAACGTCACAGGTTTTCCCCGGGTACTCCAGTTTCCTCCCACATGGAAAGTTGACAGGGTGGGTTGGGTAAAAAGGGCTCACAATAATTGGCATATGCTGTTGTGTTGACCCGGCCTAGTTGGCAAAGCTAAATAGATAGATAGATATAATTAGTTCACAGTAGTGTTTATTTGCCAACAAGGTTTGACATATTTTTACAAATGGCCAATCACATGCGAGATTCAAATTCTGAACCTATTCAAGTGTGGAAGTGGGATTTGCAATTGATATGATCAGAGGCTTTCCATTCTCACCTCTTGTTTCTTTTACCTTGCAAAGAACCAGGGTACACTTAAAAGTAACACA